AGTTGTCCCCCTTTCATTTTTGCGATGCCTCTTAATCGTGTTTTCAAATTGATTTTGTGCAGAAACAATTGTTTTCCCAATTTTTGGCATTGTCAGAACCACCGCAAGGTAATTTTATGTAGTCCTGTGAAGTTTTGTTGAAATCGGTTGAAAAATGTAGGAAATCCGATCCAATATATAAACGCACACACACACAACCTGGGTTTTATAATAAGTATGATTAATAGATAAGTTTCGGAATTGTATTATAGAAATAGTAAATGTATATGCTTCCTTTTATGTATAATCCTTATATATTAAATTTATTATTAATTTCATTTTTTTAATTTTTTTTATATTAATATATTAACATTTTATTTTATTAATATTTAAAATTGATATTATTTTTTATTGATATATTAAATTAATTTATATAATAAATTGTAATCTTTATATAATGTTCCCTTTTAGTCCTTTTTTTATAATTATATCCTCAGTTTTTATTAAACTTTTACGATCAAATCATCCAGTAAAAGGGACACAAACTTAATTGCTTGATCTAATTTTCTGTTAGTTTTAGAGTTGTTTTTATATTCTTAGTATTTTAATATGGTATAGGTTATTGTAGAAATTCCAATTCTCAGCTGTAACAACCGTTTCAAAGTGAAATTGCTCTGTGGATCACTAAAATATTACTGTGAAGCCCGCATTTGCTTCTTTTTTTTTTTTTCCTTTTTTTGTTTTTGTTTTTATGTATGTGAACCCCCAGTAATGTTATATGGACCCTGGTTGAGAACCACTGGTTTAAATGAGTGGAGAGACTGGACATTCTAGCCTTTGGTGACCACCAGTTGTAGAGAAGGACAACTTGATATTCAAGACAGGTGAGAAAGTAACAGGAAACCACTCTGCTAAGAAGATAAAAAAGAATACCATATATACTTGTGTAATGCATGATCTTGCGACCCACAAATTTGCAGTAATAAAAAAAAAATGATTTTGTCATGTATCTCATGTATCATGCAAGTTCCTTTTTTTTTTTTTTTTTGAGAGACCAAATTACCATAGACTAAACTATCCTTTAGTCCCATCTTTTAGTTAAATTAGTTAAAAAAATAAGAGAATGATAAAAGTATCATTAGTAATGCTATACTTGTGTAAACATGACCACCCATAAACAACCAAATAAGATACAGCTAAACATCTTATAAATGGTAGTAAATTCCCAGTATGTAGCACCTTTGGGAAGGGTTTGAAAACCAAGCCATGTGTATGAAACTGGACAGACAGAACTGTTTGGAAGCCATTGATGGTTATGCTCACACAAAGTCACAAGTCATCGTGACTAAGGGTTTGAGCATACTGGTGTTGTTCCAATTGCTGATCCTGACAGATTATGTGCTCTCTTTCAGAAACTGCTTAGCATAGTTGCAGCATAAGTGACACATGGGCATTAGACAAACATTGAAGTATTGAATTTAAAATTGGGTGCATGCACGTATATATATATATATATATATATATATATATATAAATATATGATATATATATGAAATTTTGTATATAGACAATTCGATATATATTGTAGATATATACATACACACACACACACACACACACACACACACACACATATATATATATATATATATATATATATATATATATATTTAGTAAATTGCTGATACTCCCTGAAAAGTGACTGGACATTTCTGCCTATGAAACTCTGGAGTCAGGATGCTGAAGGTAACATCAATCAGCTAAGTGGCAAACTTTTACTCCCATATATATATATATATATATATGAATATATATATATATATGGATAATGAAAATCTTGTAATCCATATGGATAATCCCAAGGAGGATGAAATCCAGAGATCAATATATATATATATATATATATATATATATATATATATGCACACACAAACACTGTATTTTCTTGAGTATAACATGACTATGTTTCTGAAGCTAAAAACAAAATAGATTACATCCTTCAGTATAATACTACCTTGTAGTACATTCATTCCTGTTAAAATCTTTTTTGAAAATTTGTACCATATAATCCATTAAAATCTCAAATATCATACATAGATTTCATTTAAATATTTAGATTTTCATATTCAAGAATAAAAATGAACTGGATGTTTAGTCATTGTGTGTTTCTTCACCTAATTTCCACTTCAAAACCTAATTTTGAATTTTTGGGGAAAGGTGGTAACAAGACATACTAGGTAATAGATTTTAAGGTGTTAAATGATCTATCATACTTTTCTGTTTGATATGACTGTTATATTTCTATATATTAATAAACTATGAACAAAAAAAATCTTTCATTAAGAATGAAAAGAGAAACGACTATTGCCGACTTATCAAATACTTTTTGTAAACAATTGTTATCAACACCTGCCTACTTTGTGTTTTATTATCTATTCTGAGAATTGAGTATATTTGCAATTTTACTATTTCAAATAAGTTTTTTTCAGTTGAGTAAAAACGTGTACTTGGGTATAATACGACCCCCACCTTTTTTTGCTCTTATTTTCTGTACAAAATTTTTGGTATATTACACAAGAAAATATGGTATATATCTGGTATCAATGTATCTCAGTGTGATTACTACTACTGATGACACTATGTATACTACTAATATCTTGTTTATTTCACCATCATGACTATATCTAGAATTATTTATTTACAGGTTACATCATATTCTAAATATAGGTGCTATGTACAGCAGACGCAGTCATTAGCAAGAAAAACAAACTTAGTTAATCAGATTTATAAGCTGCCCGCCAAACGAGAATGGCTAAAAAAGAAATGTTAGGCTTTAAAAAAAAAAAAAAAAGTTATGTGAATAAGGGAGAAGGAAACAATTTGACAAGGGCAGGAGGGATCAGCTACTAAAATTGATTATTTTATACCATATTAATATTTTGCAGCTGTATTTTAAGTGGTTTTTTTTTGTTTTTTTTTAAATACCATTTACTTTTAGGATATGGACACATGTAGCCCATTTGCTTTTTCTGAATGGCACACTTAATTTCATAAGGAAAATAAAGTTTCTTAAAATTTTATTTTATTTTGTTCTCACTTGTTCACTCACACTCTCTCGTACATAACCACATACATAAACAATGTTTCTTGAATTTTGTAAACTTTCAGGGAAAGTAACATTATCAGCATTTGAAACGATTTTCTCTAAGGAAGATCATACGTAGAAACATCTGCTTTTGAAACGGGAAACATTCATAAGATTTTTTCTATAAAAAAAAAAATGTTTTCATTTTCAAATGAATAAATTAGAAATAAATCCCACACAGCAATATGTGATAATCACATCGTCATCACTAATAATATTATACCAAGATCTCAATTCTTTAATTATAAAAAGATTTTTTCTAAAAAAAAATAAAACTTTTCTAAGGTATATGGTTACACATATGGTCTTCTGTAGTTAAAATAACTGAGGTACCTACTATGAAAAATTACCTTGAATCTTAGTATAGTTCACCTTGTGATGAGCCATATATCATGTGGTCCACTGCTTGAAAAATGGCTCTCCACAGATTTCTTTATTATCTCTGAATTGTTATGATTCCTTGTCTTAAGATTATCGCACAAACTTTCATAACTGAATCAGTAACTGTCAGATCCTCATGCGTTGAAACCGACAGGAGAGTCCATTTTTATATATATATATATATATATATATAATGAGAGAGAGAGAGAAGCACACTGGAGTAATAGGCAGTGGCTCCAATTAAGGAATTGGAGAGCTGAGTTAGAATTCCAGTCGAGTTCATTACATTCACTTACATGCTAATACCCTTGGGAAATGTAGCCTATTATAAGCACAAGCTGATAGCGATGCTGATTGATGTTGGAGAGACTGTCATAGCAAAGGGGTTTCGACACCAGCATGCACAACAAAAAGTTCAAGATGCAGAAAAACAAGAATATTAAAGACTGTGACAATTCAATTCAAAATAACAATTCAGTCAGGGACAATATGTGGACAAACATTAGACTTACTTTGTGACTTCCCCAATAAAAAGAGACTCAGTCAAAATATCAATCATTGGGAATCACTGCAAAACACTTGCCCCTCCCCAGTTTATATGCAGAAGCGCACAAATGTATGCTGGGATCATTTCCTAGCCAATAAAATAGACCAGTTTTCGGTTTTATCTGACTCTGTCCTAGTCTGTCTTGTCTTGAAGTTGAAACGCTATGTTTGCTTGTCTGAATTTGCTTTTGTGTGTCGGCCCCAATTCTTACTTTGAACTTTTTGCCATATTACTGTTGCTTTGCCTTATTGTTGATTTGCCTTGCATATATTGTTTGCTTCCTTTATATTATTTTTTGCCCTGTTCTTTTCTTTTTCTTGTCATTTCTTATTGCAAACTTTGTCCTGTTTGTTAATCAGTTCTGTTACTTATTTTGCATTTGACCATCATTGCTTTTTTGACATACAGTAGCCGTTAATAATTAAGTATAACTCAAGACTTTAATGTTAAAGTAAAATAGTATTTAATTACAACCGCAAATAAATACTTAACAAGAAAAAAGAAGTAAAAGTCAACTCCGAAATAATTAACAATTTCAGTGAATACCTTGTTAGTGGCATGGCTCAGCTTAATGTACGGTAAATTCTAAATCAAACCCCAAATCATGAGCACACTATAATTCACACTAATTCGACTGGATGGTTCCACTCAATAGTCACTCAATAATCACTGCAGTCAGTAGCCTGAAACCACTATTTATACACCTGGCGGAAAACATATTCCTAAGTCCGGTGTGTCAGTCGCTCTCAAACCTCAATGTCAATAGGTTACTCATTTTCTTCCTATATGACAGCTACTGACTCCACACCACCTACTGAAAGCACATTAAGGTCTTTCTTTATATATACACACACACTCACACATTCTGTTAATATGTTGTCATAGTATGTGTGCTGGTACTAAATTCAATGTACTTTGTTGATACTTTTTTATTTTTATTTTCACTAGTCTTTTTCAGTTCTGGCATATTCCACAAATGCAATACAAGAACCCTGATGTCCAGATCTTGACTTTTGCAAATCTGACTCCGACGCCGTTCATCCAGTTTTTCATGGGTTAGTAAAATTAGTTTATATGCATCACCCCCAGCTGTGGATTAAATAATAGGAATTGTATCTGTGAAAATCAGTTATTCTCAAAAATTTGTTAATAATATTCACTTATAAAAAAACTAATTATTCTTACAATCCGACAAATGTTTCCACTTTAAATAACCCACAAATGTGTTGATAAACCATAAAAAAATTTTTTGAAAGTACCCCTTTTAAGACTACTATTGTATTCTCCTTTATTCTTAATGTTATCCACAGTCTGAAATCTCGAATTCTATGGTGATTTTTAGATTTGGAAAAGCCCATGTAAGGGTGTTTATATATGTGCAGTAAGGTCCCCTCTAGTTGTCAAAACAGCACAACCAATTCTCAGGATATTCAAAATGACTAGATACTTTCTAGATGTACCTTGAAGGTAAAGAAAAATAGAACACTTGCCTATGTTTGCAACTGTTGCTTGGCAAATGGTTTTACTTTTTCAATCAAGTTCAATTTATTTCATTCTACACTCAATATTGACATGTCCCAAGATGCATTGCTTTTATAAATCAGATATCTTTTTTTAGGGAGTGTACTTAAACATTACACCATTAGGATGTGTCTGTTTAATTGATTTGGCTAGAAAGCCACTACTGTTTGTTAAATAGCAAGAACTTGTTGAAAGTATCAGTTATGGTCATGAACATTGTAAAAGCCGGTTTGTTTTAAAAGATTTCTTGAAGAAACAAGGTTACCTGCCAATGCCCGGTTTCTAACATCAATTTGATGAATTATCATTAACTGATTAATTTAGTATTTCTTTTGACTTTTAAATATTTAATTACAAAGTAAAAGCAAAAAAAAAAAAAAAAATATTCCAGCAGTTAATAATAGTGTAAACATACAACACAATATTCATCCAAGCTTTCCACAGACCAGCCAATGATTAATCCCACATTGTATTTTGATGCTCATTCTCATCGGTATCAGTAGTTATCTTCATTTTTTATTAAATGAAGTATTGTCAACTATTACTATTAATTTTTGACTAGTATTTACTCTCGTCTTCATTTTTAACTGCTATTTATCCTAACTCTTACTCAACCCCTCAGTGTATCACATGAATTAAACAATGCAGGATGATAAATAGAATAAAAGGGATGTGCTTTCATATTTCCTTGGGAGCTTATCTTTTATTCCAATCTCTTACATTGACCATTTGACTATGGTTGTGATAAAAAAAAAAATGAATCTAAAAAATAAGTACTGCACATAAATTAATAATAATAATACTTCATCTAATAAAAAATCCAAATAATTTTACAGTATCTATTGTATGTCAAAAAAATATCACATATGGTGCCAAACAACTAAAAAAAAATGAATAAATGAATAGTAATTTGAAATGGTTGATAGAACATCTACTATTGGGGTGATGACCTGTTTCTCATGACAAATGTGGTGTGAGTTCAAGCCCTGCCAATAGTTTTATTTCTTATCCACACTATTCATGACCATAGACTGGCAATGTGATTATTGGCAATGAAAATTAAATATAGAAAAGATGAAATCATTAGGTTGAGTCATAAATAATTTCTGATTTTTTTCTAATATGTTTATTCTTCAAAAAATAAAGTACAATTACATTTTATATTCAATTCTATATTCACCATTATTTGCAATTACTTTATTTATTTATTTATTTTTTTGCCAACTTATCTGGCATCTTTTCGATACCTCTTGAGTAAGATTCTGCAGTTCTCAAGATAAAAAAAAAAGTTTTTGGTGATCTAATGATGCTGATAGGTTTTTAAATGTAGTGAGTCCATGGGACCCACAAGTGGTGATTTGTATGCATCCCTGAGAAATTCAATATGCCCCAACTAAAGTTTCTTATTAAATTTTTGGGTTAAACTGCAGGGCTACAGACTAATTTTTTTGATTTTTACCATCATCCCCCCCCCAAAAAAAAAAACAATTTTAATTATGCTGAATCACTTAAATTGATAGAACTTTTTTTTTTTTTTTTTTTTTTTCCAAGCAAAAACAGTATTTACACTTAATTACAGTTCAATTAAGAAACCATATATTCTTCTGAAAATTATGACTGAACAAAGTTTTTAAATTGACAGCAAAAGTTTTTTTTCTTTTTTCTTTTTTCTATTGAATCAATCAATCTAAAACGAAAGCACTGATTGGCAAACTTCGATGAATTCAGGCCTCAAATAAATTTAAAAAAAAAAAAAGAACCTCCAAGAAAGTTTCTGGTAAGGTAACATTGATGTCTATTTCATGCCACCCACACATCCCACTGCCATGAAAGAAGTGAAAGAGAGAAAGTAAAAAGTATTTGAAAGAATAACACCAAATGATTAATGCAGTGTTTATTATCTAAAATTACAAAAATATATTGGCCTCCTTACAGTCTGCACCAACCCATGCAAGAAAAGTTCTTTTGTCTGAAAACATTTTTGAGCCCTGTTAAATGCTATTTGAACAGTGAACTGAATGTTAAATACAAAAATCTTTCTGCTTGTTAAAATGTTTTATACTCAGTTTTAAAAAGTCAGTTAACAACAAAAATACAAAATGTTTAGCAAAATTAAAATATCTATGTACTAATCACGATCAATGTCTAGTTCATTGAACAAATGATTCGCATTTGATTACAGAAAGAATATATTAGGTATATTTTTAATTAAATTGATGTCGCTGTTTGCTTAATATTGACCAACAACAAATTTCTTTTTACCATGTTATAACTGTTATTGTTTGGTATTGTGCAATGTATAAATTTTCATGGGAAACTTTAGTTGCATCCCTGGAATGCACAGATGATAAAGTTACTGCATCCTTTAAGATTTTTATGCAACTTTAACTTCCCCACCCCTAAATTCTGATGTTTGGTCATTGAAATATTGATTGCATGGAGGTCAGTCGAAACCCCCCTCCAACCAACCCCCAACCCCAAAGAATTTCTCTTTGCCCACTTTTAATAACAAAATTTTCATTTTGCAGACAATGGCAAAAAGGTGATTGTGGACACTTACAATAAAAGTCAAACTGAAATCCATGATCACATCAAAAGAATTTTCTGCAAATCAGAGTAAGTCCAATGCAATTGTTTTTTTTTTTCTCTTTTTATTTATCTTTTTTAAACTTTGTTAGGATGTAGCATATGCCATCTGCATCTCCTGCAGAGGGGTAAGACTCCCCATAAATGGCCACCTACCAGGTGGATGCTTTTGGACTGGAGTATCAATGACCAGTTTGTCTATAGACTTAAGTATCAACTTGGGCCAGTTGCTTACCTGCCAGCTTGAGTATCAACCTGGGCCAGTTGTTTGCCTGTAAACTGCACTATAATAAAAACTGTCAGCATTAAATTGTCACAGTGAACCAATCTTCTTAGCAGCAGCCCTTGATTCAATATAATCATTCCACTTCATGTCAGTGGAAAAAATCAGACCAAGAAGGTGCAATGAGTTGCTCTCCTGGAGGTTAGCATCAGCCATGTTGATGGTGGGCAAAAATGGTTCCCTATGATCATTAAAGGATAAGTTTCATTTTGGAATGTTCAAGCAAAAGAAATGCTAATTTGTTTTCACACAAATTATAACTTTTAGAAAGTTGTTGAAAACTGAGGGTTTTTTTGGTTTTTTGGGTTTTTTTTTTTTCAAAATTTCGATCAAATTAATAAATGAATAAAAATGACCTATACTTTTTTTTGTGTAAATTTCTGGGATGAGGTGTTATCATTATTTACACTATTTATATTCTGACTATTGTGCTCATCTTTGTTGTTTTTATCATGTTTCAGCTGTCTATGGCTATGAGCAGTGGAATGAGAATAGTCTACCCAGACCTATATACACCTAAGGAAGGCCAGTGGCCAAAATGTTGCGATAAAATGTGGACAATAGTCCAAATATGGTGTTTAAAAAAAAAAAAAACTATGCTTTAAAATAATAATAATATTAATAAATGCTATCTCTGTCTCATAATTGTTGATACATTTAATATCTGAAATATGTCTGCAAATGTAACAACTATTATGAGACACAGGTAAGAAATTTGTGTTAAAATTAAAACATTCTGTGGTGTTCTTTCAAAATTACTATAATGTAATCATGATTGTTAAATTTATGTAACTTCTTGATTGTGACATTCCCCAATATGTAGCTCATACTTTGGGTTGTCTCTTTTGCTGATGACCATGCATTACTTAACTTTTTAAAATCGATTATTCTGCTTGATAAATATCTTACCAATACTTAGAAGGTCAAAGTGGAATTAGGAAATTTTTTCAAAAGGATGCAGTTATACGATACAATCTTATTGATTTTTAAAGACTTATTGGGGTTCAAGGTGTCTTTTTCAAATATAGTCTATCTAATACAATGGCTGAACATGTTCTCCAATGTATAGGTTGGGCTGAAAGTCTTCTCACTCTCACCTCTCTTCCAAACTGTAGAAGCTTGTATCAGAATTCTGAAATAGAAAATTATATTTAGTAGTGGTAACAGGACTTTCGGACCACCCTGTACATGATAAAGTGTTTCAATTTGATATGAAAGAAACTCGAGCTTCTGCAAAGAGGGCCTTTGACTATAGTTGGCATATTTCAATTTCAAGTAAATGCTTTTTTTTCTCTTTTTTTACCTATGAACTTATTTGACCTCATGATTGACCTTTTTTTTTTCTTTTTTTTTTTTCCTTTCCCCAGTTTTGGGTTAAATAATAGGATATGTATCTATAAAAATCATTGTTATTCTCAAAAAATTGTTAATGCAATATACACTTGAAAAAACAAAATAAGATTATTCTCCAAAAAGTCACAAATATATTTTGGCTTTAAATAACCCGCAAAGTGATAAGCTGTAAAAAAAAAAAAAAAATCCTTGTTTTCCTCATTTTTTTTTTTTTTTTTTTTTTTACTTGTGTATGATTCAAACTTTTGGTTGATTCTTTCTCTTTTTCTTTCCTCCCTAACCCTAGGGAAATGCTTGCAGAAGAAGCGAAAGCAAAAGAACGCCTAACCCATCCTGCAAATTTTGGTTACGACTGTTCCAGATGGTGCATTTGTGAAGTCCCTGGACAAATTCCCTGCTCAGGGTTCACAACTATTAAACCTGAACTGATGGGTAAAAACACTTGGCAGTTAGAAAAACAAAAAGAAAAGGAAAACATGTAATGGCTTTTCAAACCTCAAGATGCAATAGACATTCCTTTTCATTCTCTTTTGCAAAATGTCAAAGAGTAAAGAACAGATAATATTGAAATTGATTTAATTCTTGTAATTACTACAGAGAAAGACCCATGAAAATTCATAGGTTTTCCTATTTGAATTTTATGATGAATCTTAATTCTTAACTTAATGATTGAATAAGTTCATGAACGAGTTCTGCAATAAAATATCCATAATTATTCCCATGTTTCATTGTTAACAACTTTAACAAAATATTGCAAAACCAATCATAAATATGAATGTTGGTCTTTATTTTAAGAAGCGGGTACAAATGAAAAGGTTTGAAATTGACAACCTTTTCCATTTCACTGAAACAGACACTTTCATTATTTTTTTTTTTTTTCACTGAAACCAAGTAGTTTATGCCTTGTTTTTCTATACTATCAAAACGGAATAGTCCATTATGAGGTATTGGTATTTCTATCTTCCCTTCTATTTTTTTTTCTTTCTAGCCAATTCCCCATTTTACAAACGTTTCCCTTAATACTAATTTGAAAAGAATTCAGCAAATGATGTTATCTTAACTATGGTAACTGGACTTTCAGAGATTCCTTTAGTTGGTTTTCGCCATTTGTGCATCTGAAAAATGTTACTTTTCTCATGGTCACCATCGATTCTCATCTATTTAGCTGAGATCAAAGTGTAGTAACTGTTCTTATCAGCTTAATCTGATATTTTCTCTCTCTCTCTCCACCCTCTTTCCATGCAATCAAAATGGAATAGTCCATTATTTATGAGCAGGTACCTCCACTTTTTCACTAAAAAAGAACATAGTATGATGAATAAAGGACCCAAATTTGCTAAACAACTTTACCAAAATGTTTGTTATTATTAAGAGGAAAGACCAGAGAATTTTTTTGATCATTTTATTATTTTTTTTTTTCTATCCTTTCTAGCATGTTCAAAATTTTGGTTAAAAAAAATCTAAGTTTTTTTTTTTTTTTTTTTTTTTTTTTTGTTAGTCGGTTTGTTACATTTGCTTACATGTAAATACCCTTGGGAATGGTATGAATCGATCTTCCCCCCCAGCTATTTTATTTTTATTCCTCAAAAATTATGGAAGAAATATACTGTTATGAAGTGTGGTTTCATTCATATTTTATCAGTCCAGCTGTAGTCCTTTATCTTGCATACCGGGAGATGCTCTGCCCTTACTGCTTATATAGTCTATGCTTATTGAGCAGTTATTTACATATCACTACAATGTGAAAACACATGAAGAGATACATTCTTTTCCTTGCTTTGTTTCCATCAAAGTTAAATAAATGTGAGTTTGTCATATCAATATTTGTTATGAAGTGTGTTTTTCTTCAGATTCAGTTATATATTGAGAGTTACTCTACCCTTATTGCTTGGGAATTTATATAGTCTATGCCTTAGCTATGCTAATTAGGAAGTCATTTACATTACACTTGAAAAAAATACTCTTTAAAAATTCTATAAAGGGTTAAGTCATAAAAAAAAAAAATTTGTTCTTGTTCATTCACTCAAACTCAAATAGGTTATTCAGTATTTCTCTTTGCTTCATTTGCCATCAATATGCCCTGTTACTATTAATATCACTTTAATATGTCATGTTCTTTTATTACATTGGTGATCATGGCTCTCCACAACTTTCTCTGTTTTGTTGCTCTAAATTTTTACCTGTTACCATCCTTCTTTGTTCCTACCATCCATTTATCCAAACTCAATTAGGTTACACACTGTTACTCTTACTTTCAATTTGTCCTGTATGTGTTAAATTCTCAAAACCTTCTTTCCTCATTATGCATCCCAGAAATTCTGTCTCTTTCTGATTGTAAGTGTTAATTTCTTTATTGGTACCTATTTTCTTTCAGATTTCCTTGTTGCTCACATGTCTATGGTATTTGTCAGTAGAATAACTACACCATTAAATATATCTACCTGCATTCCGCCTTCTCAAAGTTAATAATTAGCCCTTTCTTCTTGCTTTCTTTTATTGCCTTGGCTGACAGTTCTTTTATAGTGGCATGCAGCTTAGGGTTTAAAATGAACAGTTGATTTACTCACACCTAGAAAATTAATGAAGAATAATAATAATAATGACGAGGAAATGCACGGGTAATTTTAACAAAGCCAGATAAGAAATTTATTCATGAATTTACACACTTGAAGTAGTGTCAGTTGCTCATTTCAGGAAAATAAATCAGAATTTTTAGAGACCATAGTTTTAATGTATTGTCATGAACAGGAAATGCCCATACAACAGATTAAATGATCTGACACAAAATAGTATTCGAAAATGTTTAAGGCAAAGGTAAGAGAGTTTGTTATTCATCAACGGGATTTATGGTTTGTATATGTTCAAAAGAGTTGAAGAGATTTTGAAATACTTAGCTTTCTTGGATTGTGGAGAGAAAATTCTTTGAAGTGCCACGAGCTAGTTAGAGCTCAATAATATAACTGGCAAGTAATTTTACACCGACGAGAACTTCAACACTGGTTGCAAGGAACTGAAATGAAACCTTTCACATGACTTCAGACACTCTTTCATTAATTTTTCTTCTTTTCTATCAAAAAGAATTTCACATAGGCTTGCTACTTTCTTTCCTCCTTCTTCTTGGCTGATCAGCTAATTTCTGTGACAGCAAGGTTTTCATTGGTCCAAAAACAATTTCACAGAGTTTCACATATTCCTTTCCTCCACCTCAGCTCACCAGTCAATTTCTGTGAAGGAAAGGTTTTCATTGGCCCAAAGAAAATCTTACATAGGCTCAAGAATTTCTTTCTTCCTCATTCCTCCAGATTTGAAGGGAATGGGTAAAGGGTGTTATTGTTTTGCACTCCCTATACTTTCATTGTTATTTTTTAATTTGCTATCAATTCACTTTATGCAAACTCAAGTGATAAGAAAACAAAAAGTTGTGTAATTGATTTGAATCAACACAAGACTGCAGGATATGCTTAAATAAAACAGTCCAGTAATAAAGTCACAGAAAAAAGTGACAATTAATTTACAGTGGCTGGTAATAAAGTCTCATACAGTGCCACACAAAAGTTTACAACACATTACAAAAAATGTTTCTTTAGGTATTTCTAATACAAATGAATTAAACTTTTACTGCTAATAATACATATGTTTAGTCAATCAGATTTTAAAAAAATAATCAATAAAAATATCCCACAAAGAAAAACCAATATTTAATAACACAAAAATTTACAATACATTTATCAAATCATCTGTTAATATTTTATAGCATAACTGTTATTGCTAATTAAGGCATGTAGGCATTTAGAGTAGTCTCCTATGAATTTCTTGCATATTTCCTGGCTAATACATTTCCATTCTTCATAACAAAATTCCTTTTGTTCCTGCAGGTTTTGCGGGTACCTTCTTTGAATTCTCAGTTTCAGCTCTCTCCATAAATTTCCAATCAGACTGAGATCTGGAGATTGACTTGGCCATTTTAGAATGAATATTCTATTTGACTGTAACCATGATTTTGTAAGCTTTGCAGTATGTTTCAGATCATTGTCTTGTTGGAAGATCCAACCTGGTTTTAAGCCCAGTGAATGTGCACTTTTACGTCAATTTCTCTCTAAAATATCCCTATAATATGCTTTATTCATCCTCCCTTCTATTATTTCAATGTTCCCTACACCTTGGGCACTAAAGCAACCCCAGATCATGATTGATCTGCCTCCAAATTTTACTGTTGTGATAGTATTCTTTGGCAAATATTCAGTGCCCTTTTTTCTCCAGACCTTTGCTACAGCATTTCTGCCAAAAAGTTCAATTTTCATTTCATCTGACAAAAGTACATTTTTTCAAAATTCTGCAGGTTAAATACAGTGCTCATTTCCAAAATCCTGTCTAGCAAGAATGTATTTTCTCTTAAGAAGTGTTTTTTTTTTTTTTCTTGGAGTCCTCAAAGATGTCATACCAATAAAGAGAATGGCTAATTGTAGCCGTACTCTCTTTTACTCCACTTACTTTTAGTCCTCCCTGAAGTTCTTCAAGCATAACTCGGAGATGGTGCCAACTTTTCTCACCAGTAATCTTATCGTATGTTCCATTACCTTGAGGTCTTGATCAATTAATTTGTTTTTCCCCAATTTTGTTGATATTTAAAGGATGGTTGACAGAAAAAGAATGACAAAATACTTTTAATCATTCCTAAAAGTAATCATAAAATTAATTTGGAACATTCTAGTAAAATTTGAATACTTATAAAAAAGCTGTTGTTAAAATAAAAAACTTGTAAACTTTTGAGTTACTAAATATCAGTTTTTCTTAGTGGGATACTTTTTTGATTTTTTTTTTTTTTTTTTTTAAAAATATCTGATTGTTTGACTGGTTACCTAAATATGTTCTACAAGCAATAAACGTTTAATTAGTGTAACTGTATTAGAAATACCTAAAGAAAAAAAATTATATACGAGGGTCATTCAATAAATAAGGTGAATTTTTCGGTATAAGGATTTCTAATACAGATAGAAGCTTACTTTTTTTTTTATTTTTCAACGTAGTCTCCCAGCACTGTCACACACTTTTCCCATCTGTGCAAAAGCTTCCGTATTCCCTCAGCGTAAAAATCTTTGGACTGATGTCTCAGCCAGTCGCTCACAACACTTTTGACTTCATCGTCACTTTTAAACTTCGTGTATCTCGTGAACGCTTTCAAGGGACCAAACAGGTGAAAGTCTGAAGGGGCAAGGTCTGGGCTGTAAGGGGGATGAGGGAGCAGTTCCCAACCTAGCTCGTTGATGGTCTGCACCGTTTGGGCTGCTGTGTGAGGCCTTGCATTGTCAAGATGACTCCTTCTGACTGATGACCCGTGCGTTTGTTCTTTATGTCTTTCTGGACCTGCCTCAGCAGTTCACAGTAGTTCTTCTGTCAGACTGAATGAGGTTATTGACTGATTCAATCACCTCAGGAGACCTCACTTCTGTAGGCCTCCCAGGCCTGTCTTCATCCTCAACAC